ATCCATTCACAGAAAACAGCAATGATTAATAAGGCCAAGTAACCAAGACTTTAGAGTTGAAGTGGTCTTCTGCCCTCATCCCCAAGTGATAAATTCCTAGTCATTCTTCCAAATACACCTTCTCTGTAGAGCGAAGCTCTCTTTGCAGTTCCTCCCCACTGTAATTAGAAACAAGAATGATAACAATAATATTATTATTAACAACAGTAATTAACTTTTATCAGTCGCTAGGGGCAAGCAGTGGCAAAACACTCTCCACGTGTTATCTCATGTAATTCTTATAACACTTAGAAGAAGGTGCTGTCTCCATTTGATGGATTGGATGGTTGTAGTCTGGGGAAGAAAAATGCCTGTGGCCTCTATCTCTGTGCCTTGCATACCTGCTCTTTTCTAGCACTTACTGCACACCCCCAGGGCTCACCATCCTTGTGCTTCTGTCCTGCACAAGATTTTGCATGCTGACAAATTGAGAAGTTATCTTCTGGAACACAGGACAGATTATATGAATGGTTACCACCATATCATGCCTGAGTGTGGAAGGATGATAGGCACAGAAGATCAGATAGACCAGGACATTCAGACAGTCTTGAGGATCTGCTCAGAAGCCATCCAGCAGCTAAGAACACAAGCCCTCAAGGAGCACAGGAGTGCTGTTTCGGATTTTAGGGCAGCTTATTTGAAGAGTATACAAACTTGACTCAGAACAAAGAGCCACCGGAGTCCAACAAGTAGTGGTGAGAAAAGATGATGTAAGTTGGAACCAGATCCAAATACAAAGACAAGAGAATTCATGTCTTCTGAGAAAATTTCACAGAAACCCTCAAAAGATTCTGATGAAAAACCCATCAATGAGGAATATCCAAACAAGACTCCATGCAGAGCACAACCTGACCTGGGCACCTGGGGAGACGGCAAAGGGGAAGACAGATCATCCTCAGAAAAAAACACAAATGTTGGAACAATGAGAGCCTAAGTGGTTGAGTGAATGGCCTGTTGGAGGAAGCAGGGCAAATCAAAGGAAAAGTGGTTGGAATTTCCAGATTCACAGATAGTCACAGAGCTTTTACAGCGAGAAGCTGAGATTGATGGCATTCACCGATTAGCTGGAGAAGGAATGCAGCTATGGAGGGGGATGAAGAGAGCCAGGAAGAAGCATGCTTGGAGCTGGAGGAGTTCTTCCTCCCGGTGATGAGGTCCTCCTCCTTGCTCCTCCCTATCCACAGGATGGCTGTAAGCAAGCTCTGTGCCGGGTGCTGCCCCCACCCCTGATCCCTGGCAAACAGTATGCTGTCCTGGGTCTCCAGCATCAGAGTGTGGTTTATGATAGGAGGTTATCCTAGAGCCAACTGGGGGGAGGGGGCGGAGGCAAACATGTACTCTCACAGCAGGTACCCCCAAACCTGTGGTTTTAAGCTGATTTTGTAGCTAAAGACAATGAAGTTGAAAAGAAAGGAGAAAACTAAGTTCAAATGATTGTGCAAAAAAAAAAGTGACTAAAACTGAAATTATTGACATATGCAACTTCATCATTTTCCCAAAGGCACAGATAATATATACAAATATAAATATAAATGTGTGTATATGTACATATACATAATATATAACTTTTCTCTAACCTAGGTTCTATTCTTTAAGCAAACTCAGCTGTCCAAACCTCTAGTGTCCCCATACTTGAGATACATTTAATATGCAGGAAAAATATTAAAACAGCAGGAAAAAGTCCAAGTTAACAGGTGGTGTCACTGTTATTGCAGTGCAATAGCCAGAAGCAAGCAAAATATTGAGGATTTTAATTTTCATTGTCCCATCCAGACTGGCTTTTACAACTCCTTTTAGTATGGAAAAAAGAAATCTGGAGACCTGAAGCATGAGGTTACATTTACCCTTTAGCCTCCTTGAGGCTCACAAATACCTTTCGTACCAACTCTGGACTCCTAGCTTCAACTAATATTAATTCAAAAATCAGATTGGAGCTCCCACCACAATGCCACCAGCGACATCGCGGGAACTGGGTCTCTAGAGATTCTAGAAACTGTGGGTGACAGAACATGAGAGACTCCTAACTCTGGGAAATGAACAAGGGGTAGTGGAAGGGGAGGTGGGCGGTGGGATGGGGTGACTGGGTGATGGGCACCGAGGGGGGCACTTGACGGGATGAGCACTGGGTGTTATGCTATATGTGGCAAATCGAACTCCAATAAAAAAAATACACAAAAAGAAACTGCAGATGCCGCTGGGCTGCTCTTCGCTGCCCTCTGCTGGCCACACATGGAAGCAGGCCAAGTCTCCACAGGTAAAAATAAAGGGTCATGTGAGAAAAGGCCAAAAAGCATTCAGGGTGATTGCAGAAGAAAAAATTTAAATAGGAACCCCCAAAGAGGCGTGTTGACTATGAAACAAAGGATTGACCATACTAAGAGTAGAAAAGTACAAAATCATCTTCCTTTAAGAATTCAGAGAATGAAAACCAGAAAAAAAAATTGTTGGAAGAAAGCAAAAATGTGCTACCATTTTGTTTTGTCACTAAAAAAATGAGGAATGGATGTTCACATCTTTTAAATCTTAGCACTTTTGGTCTCTGGGTTTCAGGACTGATGTTCATGGTGCAGGAGAAGGTGGTTACAGCAGCTCCAAAGCCTCTTCAAAGTAAGGTAAAACACTGAAGAACTTTTTTTTTTTTTTTAAGATTTTATTTATTTATTCAGGAGAGACACAGAGAGAGAGAAGCAGAGACATAGGCAGAGAGAGAAGCAGGCTCCAAGCAGGAAGCCCGATGTGGGACTCCATCCCAGGTCTCCAGGACCACACCCTGGGCCGAAGGCAGGCACTAAACCGCTGAGCCATCCAGGGATTCCCCAATGAAGAACTCTTGAACTCAACAACAAAACACACAACCCAAATCAAAGCTGGGCAAAGGAATTAGATAGCCATGTCTCCAAAGACATACGAGTGGCCAAGAAGCACATAAATAATGTCCAATGTCCAACCCCACTAAAAATTAGGGAAATACAAATCAAAACACCAATGAGATAATCACCTCACACCCGTCAGAATGGCTACTACAAAAACAAAACACAATGCAGAAAATAACAAGTCAGGCAAGATATGGAGAAATTGAAACCCTTGTGCAAATGTAAAATGGTGCAGCTGCTATAGGAAACAGTAAGGATACCTACACCCCCGGGTTAGGAGAGCTCTGGGCTGGGGAACACATCAGTGTGTGGGAGGTTGGGGTACACCTAGAGGGGGCACAGAAGCTCCACACTCCTTTCCACACACCTCTTCCTATGCATCTCTTCTTTCTGTTCCCAAGCTGTACTCTTTATAAGAAACCAGTAATAGAATTCAAGCACTTCTCTTTGAGTTCTGTGAGCCATTCCAGCAAATTATCCAACCCGAGGGAGGGTATGTGCAAACCCCTGATTCATGGCCAGTTGGTCAGCAGAACAGGTCACAACCTGGGACTTGGGATTGACATCAGAAGTGGGGGCAGCCTTGTGGGACTGGGCCCTTCACCTGTGGGGTCTGCACTCATGCCAGGCAGTTAGAATTGAACAGAATTTGCAGGACACCTAGTTGGTGTCCAGAGAACAGGAGAATTCCTTGATAGGAGTAAAAACTCCACACGTTTGATGTCAGAAGTGTCTATACAGAGAGGAAATTAATTTTAATATCCAAAGGAATTGAAAACAGGGTCTCAAAGACACATCTGCACACTCTTGCTCATAGCAGAATTATTCATAAATAGCCAAGTGTCCATTGCAATGAATGGATAAGCAAAATGTGGTATATCCATCCATATGATGGAATATTATTCAGCCTTTTCAAAAGGAAGAAAATTCTGACAGTTACTATAAGAAGGATGAACCCTGAAGGCATTACCCTGGGCAACGTAAGCCAGGCACAAAAAGACAAACACTATGCGATTCCCCTTATATATCTAGAACAGTCATGTTTACAGAGACAGAAAGTAGAATGGCAGTTGCCAGGGGCTGTGGTGAGCTACCATTTCAAGGGTGCAGAGTTTCAGTTTTGCAAGACGAAAATGTTGTAGAGATTGCGTGCACAACAATCAGAATGTATTTAACACTACTGAACACACTTAGAAATGGCTCAGATAGTAAATGTTATGTTCCGTGTGTTTTACAATTAAAACTAAATTTCCTTAAAAGGTACTTTGAAACAACACATCAATACAATCATTCCTTCACTTGCTCTCTGCCACACATTTGACTCAGCTTCTAGAAACTGAGAAAGTGAGACCTAGAAGGGATTTGGAGATCCTGCTCAATTTTTACAGAATAAAGCAATGCAGACCCCAATGGCGAGGTAAGCTGTGCGGATGTTGGATGGTTAGTGGTAGAGTGGGATTAGAAGGGCTCGAGGCTCCCAGACTGGGGCCTTACCTGACACCTGAACCCCAACAGGGACAGCCCATTGCTTTGTTTCTTTTAAGCAGGCTCCATGCCCAACGCAGGGCTTGAACTCATGACCCTAGATTGAGAGTTGCAAGTTCCTCCGACTGAGCCAGCCAGGCACCCCAGCTCATTTTTTGATGTTAATGAAAATAATAACGCTCCTCCACTCAGGGCTCCTGCCCATACACCACTGGGAGGCCAGACGAGTCCATGAAGGAATATACGTTTGGTTAAAATCCAAGTGATCTGAATTTCAAAGCCCACTGAACAAACCTGGGAAGGTGGGGAGAGAAATGTAAGCTACTGAAATGTGAACAGGACACATGGAGGGTGTTTCTCCCCCACTGAGTTATTTTGTAATATTTTCCAGCATGAGCCTTAAAAGGAATATCTTCCTCCAGGCAGAGTCTTCCTGTCTATCTACAGTAATATCACAGTATGAGGCTGTGTATATAAATTATTTTTTATTTTGCTTTGATGATTGGGAAAAGATACCAGTATATATGATCAAATCAGAGCTAACAATAACTTGCAGTTAATTTGGCTAATTTTATTAAAATAAAGACATGTCTGTTTAAACTGAGAAGAAAAATGTTCTCACTGGCACTTTGCTTTGGCTGGGATCCTTGAAGTTAAGGCCAACGTGCTGATAATAATCACTCTCACACCATCGGCCTTGTTCGTCCTCTGAAGCACACGTGGTACTGGCAAACAGCAGCTCAGAGCTGTGAATGAGTGAGCAAACAGTCAGTGCTCTGCCCACACAAGACCCTGGGTTACAATCCCTTTAATCAACGGTTTACTCTGAAAGATCTGCTTTCAGATGGTAAGGCTTTGCCAGGATGAGTTTCTCAGGGCCGACGATGGCTCACTGTGCAGTGGCATGTGAGGTAGATTCTCTTCACATTTTGCAGATGTTCCTGTTGTTCTTTAACCGGGGGTGGGGGTGGGGAGGTGAGTGCTGTCCATGACCAGAACATCTGGATTCACATTCCTACATGGGGGGAATGCCTCCCCATGTCCCCAGTCTGCAAGCCAGTCTGCAATTCTGTCTCACATTCTAACTCTTCAAATCCAGAGGAATGTTTTCTTCATCCACAGGTTGTTTAGGTTTTAAGTGACCACTCAGAGTTAAGAAGGAATATCTCAAGCCCCCTGCCATGCTGAAAGGAGGGGGGAGGAGTGAAAACAAATAAATCTCACAGGTAGTACCACCAGATCTTCATAAAATATACATCTTTATAGATATAGCCAGCTTATTGAGACCTCTGTTTTTCTCCTAGTTTGTAGATTACTTGATGAGAATTACCCCCTCTTATTTAGAAATCTGTAGAGGCAGAAAAAGAATAGATCATATCTAATACAAAACTTTGGAGAGGGGATCCCTGGGTGGCTCAGCAGTTTAGCGCCACCTTCAGCCCAGGGTGTGATCCGGGAGTCCCGGGATCGAGTCCTGCGTCGGGCTCCCTGCATGGAGACTGCTTCTCCCTCTGCCTGTGTCTCTGCTTCTCTCTCTCTCTGTCTCTCATGAATAAATAAATAAAATCTTAAAAAAAAAACTTTGAAGAGAAAATAAACATTTGTTTATTGCTGAATAAACTATACTATTATCCTAAGACAGTATCCCACATCTAGGATCCCAAAATGCCTTTCAAAGGTATCTCAGCCACCCCTCCCAATATCCTTAGTGTATGGTGCTTTGACAGAGCAGGACATAAGTAAGGCCCACTTCACAAAAGGAAGACAGATAACTTAGGAGACTTTTTTGTGAGAAAGACACACGGATTAAATTCAGATCTCAGCCCCTTGAATTTTCATCATACATGTCCCCACAATCCATATGAAGGAACATGTCATAAAAACAGATGAATTGAGGGATTTAAGTAAAATTATCTCAAAAACAGAAATGTCAAAACACCTCCCATTCTTTCACTTATAATAGATGAATCAGACTTTTTAAAATTCACATTTTACTAAAATGATGTTCATTTAGAAATCCCACTTACCAAATATTTAACCCTACAAAGTTTAACACAGAGAAAATGTAGTCTCCACCAACTAACATCCCAATGTAGGCAATGGATACATTCTGCAGAAAAAGAGAGAGGATTAGTCATTTTCAAAGTGAAGGGTTTAGGGGGAAAAATACATATAGTAAATATATATTTTTACCATATATAAAATACATATGGTAAAATCTGAAACTAAATATTTTACTTTGCCCAGAGACTTGTACACAGAGCTGTTCACAGAATGTTGAATAAATGAATAAAAAAACATTACATATGGCTTTATAAAGAATGTGAACCATGGCATGATAATTACAGAACACTGCATCATTCATGCCCCTTACAATTAATACATAGGAAAAGAGATATGAGTTGAGTTGTCATCAGCTTTCCAGATCCCATATCTTTACCATCACTGGGTGGTGAATTTTAATCATATGGACCCTAAACTTGCACAGATTAGACATCCAGCGAATTCCAAGCAGTGCCCTGCATTGAGCATTCCAGAAGGACCTAGGTGGCCAACGGAGGAGTCTACTGTTAAAGTAGGTGGTCTTTCTCACTCTATCCACGTGAATAGGAAAATAAAGCAACTGTAGCATAGAACACAGGACACCCCCCTCTTCATTCCTGTGTATCAGGTGCACAGACAAAACATACCTACATGCAATCCATGAGTTTAGTACCTTACAACTGAGCATATATCTAGATTAAAAGCAGTTCTTCACAAGGCTTCCCTTTCTTAGTCAACAGGTTCTCCCAGAAAACCAAGTTGTACAAGCAAGGTATAGAATAAGATATGTCGGTGAGTGCAGAAATTTGGGACTTTTTCTGCTTTGCTTTTTTTACTACATTTGCCTAGACCATCCCCTCCTATCAACCCCAAAGTAAACATCAAAATTTGTCTCTCCTTTTTAAATTAGTGAGCCCTCCCTCTGTTTATGGATTAGGGATGAGAAGATCTAAGAAGAGATTACCCAGCTACAGTTGAAAATGTCACCAGCCTCCATGTTTGCATTATCTCCGTTACCACAATAAAATCGAACTCCGCTTCTTTCATGACAACTGGATTCACAGCTAGTTCCCCAACACCCAAGTCTTCACCCACTTACCTTGATGGCTCCAACCACCGCTGTAGTGAGGGCTGAATTGTAATAGCTGCACAGAACCGTGGAATACATCAGCAGAAACCTGGATCAAGGAAGGAAGCGCCAGATGCATGCCTTACAGTGCCAGGTATAATAACAGTTGAAGAAGAATCTGCACGTGAGCCACCCACAAGTACTTTAAACAAGTAAAAAAGAAAAGATTTTATAACCTACACCTTAAAACATCTCCTTTATAATTCCATCTTTGTACAGTAAAGTGGTCCAGCTGGGCATTAGCGAAAGTTTCTACCTTCGGTGCCCTTTTCATTCTGTCTGTGCATTTCCCATTATGTTTCCATGTAAAGAGGGTAAGAACACGAAGATTTTTTTTTAATGGTCTGAAATCTTTTAACAGCTATGTTACAACGGTGGTCTTTAATCCTCTATGTATATTAGAATCACCCGGCACACTTTTAACACACAATGATGCATGACAGTTTTCCCTTAGTGGGTTTGAAGTGGGGTCCTTGGCTGCGTGCAGTAGCAAAGCTCTACAGGTCATTCTCACATGCTACCAGCTGAGAACCACTGGTGTTTAGAAGGGAAAATTAGCAAAGCATTGCTTTGGATGGAAGAGAATTAAAGGATTCCCTAGCAATCAGACAACAAAAAGAAAGGTCATCCAAACTGATAAGGAAGAAGTCAAACTTTCACTATTTGCAGGTTTATACTACTTATATTTATTCTATACTGTATATAGCAAGATTCCACAAAAAAAAAACTGCTAGAACTGATAAATGAATTCAGGAAAGCTACAGGATACAAAATCAATGTATAGAAATCTGTTGCACTCCTATACACTAAAAATGAAGCAGCAGAAAGAAATTACAACAACAATCCCATTTACAATTGCACTGAAAATAATAAGATACCTAGGAATAAACTTAACCAAAGAAGTAAAAGACCTCTACTCAGAAAACTATAAAACATTGATTAAAGAAATTGAAGATGACACAAAGAAATGGAAAAACATCTTCATGCTCATGGATTGGAAGAATATTGTTAAAATGTCCATACAAAGTGATCTATACATTTAATGCAATCTCTGTAACAATTTCATTTTTCACAGCATTTTTCACAGAACTAGAACAACCAACCTTAAAGTTTGTATGGAACCACAGAAGACCCAGAAGAGCCAAAGCAATCCTATAAAGCCAAAGGTATCACAATTCCAGACTTCGAGTTACATTAATGTAGTGATCAAAACAGTATGGTACTGGCACAAAAACAGACACATAGATCAGTAAAACAGAATAGAAAACCCAGAAACAAACCCACAATTTTATGGTCAATTGTAGACAAAGGAGGCAAGAATATACAATGGGAAAGACAGGCTCTTCAACAAATGGTGCTGGGAAAACTAGACAACAATGTGCAAAAGAATGAAACTGGACCACTTTCTTATACCATATACAAAAATAAACTCAAGATGGATTAAGGACCTAAATGTGAAACCTGAAACCATAAAAATCCCAAGAGAACACAGGCAGTAATTTCTTTGACAGTGGTCATAGCAACATCTTTCTAGATAGCTCTCCTGAGACAAAGGAAATAAAAGCAAAAGTAAACTATGGGGCCTGCATCAAAATAAAAAGCTTCTTCAGAGCTAAGGAAACAATCAACAAAACTAAAAGGTATATGCAAGTGATATATCTGACAAAGGGCTGGTATCCAAAATATATAAAGAACTTACAAAACTCAACACCCAAAACACAATTAAGCCATTTAACAAATGGGCAGAAGACATGAACAGACATTTCTCTGAAGAAGACACACAGATGGCCAAGAGATACATGAAAAGATGCTCAACATTACTGATCATCAGGGAAATGCAAATCAAAACTACAGTGAGATGTCAAAGTGGCTAAAATCCAAAACATAAGATACAAGTGTTGGCAAGGGTGTGGAGAAAAAGAAATACTTGTGCACTGTTGGTGGCAATGCAAACTAGTGCAGCCACTGTAGAAAACAGTGTGGAGGTCACTCAAAGTTAAACACAGGACCACCTCTATGATCCAGTAATCATACTACTGGGTATTTACCCACCAAATACAAAAACACTAATTCAGAGGGATACGTGCACCCTGATGTTTATAGCAGCATTATCTACAACAGCCAAATTATGGAAGCAGCCGAAGTGTTCATCCACTGATAAATGGATAAAGAAGTAGTGGTCTTTACACACAATGGAATATTACAAAGCCATCAAAAATAATGAAATCTATTTGCAACAACATGGATGGAACTGGAGTGTATTATGCTAAGTGAAGTCAGTCAGAGAAAGACAAATACCATATGATTTCACTCATCTGTGAAATTTTTTAAAAAGGTGAGCATAGGGGGAAAAAAGGAGAAACAAACCAAGAAACAGCCTCTTAACAATAGAGAAAAAAACTGATGGATATCAGAGGGAAGGTGGGTGGGAATGGGTGAAACAGGGTTGTTAAAGAGTACACAAAAGGAAAGGAAAGGAAAGAAATAAACTAATGGATTCCACATGCCAATAATACTCCTGTGCCCTTGGACCAAAGTTAGTTCACCAGGCATTCAACATTGAGCACTATATTGATGCTTATGTCAAGAAAATGACTATAGAATTGGGACCAAGCACCAGCCAAAAAATACATATGTACAGGGAAGAATACAGAATCTAATCAGAAGAAATATGTTCATTCCAATCAAGAACTGAAGAAAATAACCTAAGTGGGGTGCAAAATTCCATCTGCCCAAAGGATACAGAGAGATCCTAGGTGTGTTGGATTTTAAAGCTAAATCCCCGTTAGGAAGCATAAGGCTGGATCCCCCATTGGCAGAACAGAGGGAATCAGACTCTAAGGAATGGGCTCAGCCCCTGTGTGTTAGGTAGCCTCTTCCTGCAGAAATCTAGTGCCCCTGGTCCAGGTCAGAATCCCTACTAGTAACAGAACCTGGATCACAAATCAATAAACACTTTCAGCCTGAGTATGTTTCTTACCAGGGATGGTAAAGAAAAAAATCTTAGAGATAAAGTATACCAAGCTTTTATGTTAGGGAATAAACTCAATTACGAACTTAAATTCTGTAATCTTCAGAAGAACATGTGTCTCTGTTATTAAGGTAATTACAGCAATTTGACAAGTTCGAGGACCCAACGTCTTGACCTCTGTGGTTTGAAACTGAAATGTGCAATTGAGATTAGATTTGCAATTTTCAGTTGCAAGAAGTAAAATAATCTGAGTCAGTACGAACACAGTAGTTGATGTTTAAAAAGAAGGTGACATCACATTTCTAAGTTTGGTTTACTAGATTTCGAAGAGTTGCTTAGGTATGTAAAGCAACCTGGCTCATAAACTTTGCAGGGCCACATTAGTGCTTGGACTAGCTGGAGAAATATCAGGTGAATCGTATTTGTAAGTGGTGTTTAAAATGTTTAATTTTTTTTAAATTCACTGAGTAGTAAACAATACCAACTTATAGTAAATTGTTCAGGAGATTTTAATCAACTAAACTTGAGTTAAGAAGCCATTAATCAAATAATGAAAGTAAATGTTCTTATGGTAATACAAAAATTACTAGCTTTATAGAGCAACAGTATTTATAAATTGAACTTAAAAAATTTTAAGTTTTTTTTTTTAAGATTTCATTTATTCATGAGAGACACAGAGAGAGAGGCAGAGACACAGACAGAGGGACAAGCAGGCTCCCTCTGGGGAACCTGATGTGGGACTTGATCCCAGGACCCCAGGATCATGCCCTAAGCCGAAGGCAGACACTCAACTGCTGAGCCACCCAGGTGCCCCAAAATCTAAGTTTTTTTAATGTTTATAATTTTAATAAATTCGACATTAATTCAGAGCCCCAGGAACTATAAATAATCCTATTCTTCCATAAAATTAAAAGATTAAAAAAAAACTCAATGTGGGGCACCCAGGTGGCCCAGCGGTTGAGCGTCTGCCTTCGGCCGAGGGTGTAATCCTGGAGACCTGAGATCAAGTCCCACGTCTGGCTCCCTGCATGGAGCCTGCTTCTCCATCTGCCTGTGTCTCTGCCTCTCTCCCTGTGTCTCTCATGAATAAATTTTTAAAAATCTCAAAACAAAAAACAAACAAACAAACAAAAAACCTCAATGTGATGTTACTGAGTACCTACTGTGTTTGCCCAGATAGTGAGAGTACATAACACAGCAACCACCCTGGAGGAGGTAAGTCTAATAAAATATTAGAGATAAGAGCACAGGGAGGGGGTCTACCCCAACTTAGGGAAAACAGAAAAGTTTCCTGCAGGCCTCTTAAATGAAGTCCTGCAGACTTCAACCCAAGGCAATCATGGATGTTATTTTATTTTTGTTTAAAAATTCCAACTCCAGGGTTCCAAATATGCAATGTTTTCTCCATCCTACCTTTTAGTGAAATCACCTCCACCTGCATCAGAATTGGCTGATACCTTGAATATAAGATTCCAGTATCTATCCACCATGAGTGTGGACAGCTAGGACACAAACTCACCAGCTGGGCTGGGCACAGGAGGAACCCCTCTCTGAGGCCTGGGGGTGCCTGAAACAGCCACTGTCCCTAAGGGGCCTGCAGACAAAGAGGCTGCACTTATCAGCGTGTCCCACTAGGTGTCCCCAGAGAAGATAAGGGGAAAACCACAAGGCGCAAAGTAGTCAGTGCAGGACAATCTGTATTACAATTTTCTAAGAAAAAATTTCTACATGAGAGTATGTTCCTATATAATCCTTTGGCTAAGAACACCAAGGTTCTAAATTAAAATAACCTCTGCTAATTCAGTACAAAGGAAAACATACCACTTTTAACACTAAAAATATCCACCTCCACATGACAGTAGTTTTGGTTTTAGCATCTATGGATTAAAAAAATGCAAAGATATTTAAAAGTATTGCTGAATTATCAGTAGCTCCTTGCCATTCTGAACTTTTAAATCATATATCTTCTATGTACACTTGAAAAATAATAGCACATGTATGTGATATACATTCAGACAACATATGCCAGCCGTATGTTTGGGTTTACAGGTCCCCAAGAGATGGATGTGCTCACATAGAAACCCCTGGAGCAGAATTCCTGCTCCAAGGTTCTTACTATTTCTGAAAATGACACGAAAAATAACTTATCTACCCAAGGCTCTATGGCACACTCATGGCAGTCACAAATAGAATTCAAATGACCTCATTTACAACTTGCAACAGTTATCATTCCATGAAGGAGCATTTATATAAATTAACACAAATGTTCAGATAATAAAAGGCCACATTTATCTCCCTTCTCTCAACCACAATGATACCCTAGCACATGCCTCTAATTCCAGATTTCAAAGAATTTCAAGTAATCTCATCTCACTCATCTCTAGTAAGAACACACTCCTACCCAAGGCCTCTGTGGTGTGCCAGGGATGTCAAAGTCATGGGATATATGTGGTCCATCTTCCCAGGGCACTGATTTTACATGAAGATTGGTTTATTGGGAATGTGGGAATATCTGCACTCTGAAGTTCTGTTGCCCTATGCTATCCACAGAATCCTATATCAGGGAACTTTTAAGGAATAGAATATTTTTTATCCTGGGATTAGAAAATATTTGGTACTTTTGTGTTTTTATTAAGGAATATATCACTGCTTCACTGGGAACAAAAGGTCCGCTACTGGAGCAGAAACAGATTAGACTAATCACCACCAAGGCCTGAGGGCTACTGCCAGCCGCTGGTATGAATGAACCAGAACCTGTAATTTTTCAGCAAGATTGAAAATACTTGCAGAGCTAGGTTTTTATTTTATTCTATTAAAAGATTTATTTATTTTAGAGAGAGTGTGTGTGCAAGCAGAGGGAGGGGCAAAGGGAGAGGGAGAGGGAGAGAATCTTCAAGCAGACTCCTCACTGAGCACTGTGCCTGCGGGTATAGATCTCCCAACCTTGAGACCCTGACCTGAGCCAAAATCAAGAGGCAGACACTTACCTGACTGAGCCACCCAGGTGCCCCAGAGCTAGCTTTATAAAATCGAGTTCGTCAATTCAGGTTTGTCTATATTTTATTTCTGCCTGCATTAAACTATCTTAGTACCCACAATCCAGTTTACCTTCCTGACATAATTAAACTCCATCATATTCTTTACAAACTCCTGATTACAAATAGCATTTCTGAAAATAGTCTTTCCATCATAACTCAAAAGAAAATTAAAAGTCTGCTTTTTTTCACCATTCCATTCACTTAACATGCATTTTTATTTATTTTTATTTTTTAACATGCATTTTTAAAGCATTAAAATTTTATAATTATGTTTTCAACATGGGATAGAGGTTTAGTGGTTAGAAAAAGCAAGTTTGAAATGCAAACTTGAAAGAGTGAAAAAAGTGAGAAGCTGAGCATCAGAGTCCTCTGAAATCAAGGGCTGGGATGCATATATATGAGCCTCAAGTCATTCGTTGAGCAGGGACTAAGAAAAGAGACAGATGAGCCTAGGACCAGTTGTTCTGAAAACCGAAAATGTGCTCAGAAGCTTACAATGGCTTCTTTTACAATGAAGAAATAAATGACTCAATCCTTTGAATGAGAAACTTTGATAAAGGATTCTGAAAAATCCAACATGCCAAAATTGGAGCTTCCTTCCGGAGCCGTTTCAGAATTAAAATTTGACCACTGAAGGTAAAGTACAGTTGACCCACTGCAGGAGTTTGGGTGCCGGCCCCCTGCACAGTCAAAAATCCAAGGTATTACTTTTGACTTCCTCAAAACTTAACTGCTAATAGCCTGCTGTAGACCAGAAGCCTGATTGAAAACATGGTCAATTAACACATATTTTGTATATTATGTGTGTTATACACTGCATTCTTATACTATAGAAAGCCAGAGGAAAGAAAATATTATTAAGAAAATCATAAGGAAGAGGAAATGCACTTACAGTACTATATATATTTTTTGAAAAAACTCTGTACATAAATGGACCCACACAGTTCAAACATGTGTTGTTCAAGGGTCAACTATGTATGTAATAGAAGGAAGAGGTCACAAGAGGGCACCCAAACTCTCCTCCTTTAAAAAAGGAGGAACTGGATGCAGTGATAAAGAATTAGGACCAGGCAGGAGTCAGAGCAGCAGAGTTAGAATGGAACAGGGGTGGGGCCTCAGGGCAGATACCTTAGCAGAGCAGCACTAAAGAAGAAAGAAAAGAAAGAAGAAAGAAGAAAGAAGAAAGAAGAAAGAAGAAAGAAGAAAGAAGAGGAAAGGAAAGGAAAGGAAAGGAAAGGAAAGGAAAGGAAAGGAAAGGAAAGGAAGAAAAGAAAGAGGAAGGAAGGAAGGAAGGAAGGAAGGAAGGAAGGAAGGAAGGAAGGAAGGAAGGAAGGAAGGAAACGAACCTTGAGCCAAATTCCAAGTTGGGAGTTACATTTTAGCCCACTGAGCCCAGACCCTCGAAAATGCCTGGAGTGGTGCAGGTCAGGGGCAATACCTGGATACCAGCTGGAGCAAAAGCAATTTTTCTCTACAGGGAAGTTTCTCAAATTTTCAATTTGAAAATTGGTAATCAGCCCACAATATTAAGACTGAAGCAATATGCTCACAATCACAAGTCACCAACCACCCACAGTTTGGCAATCGCTTTCTACATACATATTTAGATTCTTAAACGCTGCATATATTGAAATCATTAGATACAGAATAGCTATGTGTATAACATTTAAAGAAATGAAAGTTACAAGAATCACAAAGATCACCAATGAGAGAATACTAGGAATGAACAGTAAGTTTGGAGGAAAAAAAAAAAAAACTGTGAAACTTTTACAAACAAAATATAAAATTATTGAAATCAAAAAGTCCTGAGTGGGTCAGTCAGTTGACTGACTCTTGATTTTGGTTCAGGTCATGATCTCGTGGTAGTGAGATCAAGTCCCACATCAGGCTCCATGCTGAGCTTAAGATTCTCTCTCTCCCTCTGCTTCTGTGCCCACCCCCCACCCCCCACTCATGTACTCTCTCTCTAAAAAAAAAAAAAAAAAAAAAAAATCAGGGATGCCTGGGTAGTTCAGTGGTTGAGCATCTGCCTTTGGCTCAGGGCATGATTCTGGAGTCCTGGGATTGAGTCCCACCTCAGGCTTGCTGCATAAAGCCTGCTTCTCCCTCTGCCTTTGTCTCTGCTTCTCTGTGTGTGTGTCTCTCATTAATAAATAAATAAAATCTTAAAAAAAAAATTTGTTTTAAAAGACTCCATCACCAGGCTAAACATTAAATCAGACACAGCTAAGGAGAGAATTAGAGAAATGGAAGATATACATAAATGTTTTTATTTTATGTGACTAATCACTGCAATTAAAATTAAGTTTGAGAATTTTTAAGCGTTGATCAAAGAGATTGTGAGTTGCTCTTGGTTCATTTAAATGTAATGAAAAGGGCAGCGTGGGTGGCTCAACGGTTTAGCACTGCCTGGTTTAGCGCTGCCTTCAGCCCAGGGCGTGATCCTGGAGACCCGGGATCAAGTCCCATGTCAGGCTCCCTGCATGGAGCCTGTTTCCCACTCTGCCTGTGTCTCTGCCTCTCTCTCTGTGTGTCTCTCATGAGTAAATAAATAAAATCTTAAAAATAAATAAATAAACAAATAAATGTAGTGAAAATTATAGTATTGGAAGTAAAAAAAAAAATAAGGGGGAAACTCATCTTTCTTCACAGGAAAAATATTTTGATGAGTAATTTCCTGAGACAGTCATTCAAAGCACCTTTCCATATGGGATAAGACACAGGTATTGTATATGCAGGAAGCCCAGCTCAGGGACGATACTCCAAAGACTGAGCAGTGGTGACCTCTGGAGAGGCAAAACACAGTGCTAGAGGCAGGGAAGAAGGAGGGCTTATGTTGCCCGGGCATTCTGTTGCAATTCTTGGATTATTTACTAGGTGTGTGTATTATCTGTTCATGAAAAGGAATTTTCAAGCTTTTGGAAAAAAAAAAACAAAACAAGCTACATGGCTTTTCAAAAGGAAGACAGAAATAAGAAAAATTTTAAGAACAAAAGCCTAAAATTATTGGACAATATAATGGCCTGGACATCTCACCTCAGAAATTTCCCTGAATATAGCAGGTACAGCACTAGAGTAAATGGTCATCATTTCCACATATTAGGTGAGGTAGAAAATCTTGAAAAACTTGGGACATCATGCCCAAGATGACGAACAGTACTAAATTTGATACATCAACTAATGTCATTCAGACTAACTTTCAGAAATCAATAGGCAACATCATATTTTGGAGTAGAATGTGACATTAGCATGAGTTTCAAAAATAAAACTGATTCCTGCTTGCTCCTGGTCTTTTAGGTGGTGTTCCCAGGGACCCTGAGTCCCATTCCTCTGCTGCAGGGGTCCTTTCCAGAGAAATCTGGAGAAGCACAGACAGAGGGATTCTGACAGAACAGATGGAATGTATATTTTGATTCGATTTGTCAAGAGATATCATAGATCAAGCTTCTAATTATGCATGGTTTCTTACCCCAAAAAACAGGAAAGAAGAAACTGTATGATAAATAAAACATTCTTCCATTCATTGAATTCAGTAGCCTATTATAAAAAAGAAAGAAAACCAATGATTAGACTAATGATATTGCAGTTCAGATGTATGGCTTTTACCAAATTGTGTGTTTTAATACAGGAACCACTTTCCCAAACAAGAAATACAGCTTAAAAAATCCCAGACAACACCAATTGTTTGATGTTGGGCAGATTGCTTTTACTCCCTGAATCTCAGATTCATTTTACAAAACAGGGATCTTTTTTTAAAACTTCCTCAAAAGGTCAAGGTGAGGATTTAATGAAATTGTTTAGAACTCAGCAGGTGGCATGTTTACAACATAGCTATATGTTGCTGTGACTGTCTCCTTACTAATCCATACTCACAAAATTATGGTTGGGTTTACTTTTTATAAATAATCTTAGAAGAAACCTTATTATAAAATTAGTGATGTTAGCAGGTTAAGAAAATTTTAAGTCCATGAACTGTTTTCAAGAATTTACAAATGCTTGGGGCGCATGGGTAGCTCAGTCTGTTAAGCATCGACTCTTGGTTTTGGCTCAGGTTATGATCTCAGAGTCAAGGGACTGAGCCCCATGTTGGGCTCTATATGCAGCAGAGAGTTGGCTTGAAATTCTCACCCTCACCCTTGCCTTCTGCTTCTCCCTGTTTACTCATGCTCTCTAAAATAAATACATAAATTAATTAAATAAAATCTTTAAAAAAGAATTTCTAAATGTTTAGTAAGTATTATAAACAAACTATTATTTGCTATTTACAAAGCAAGCAAGTAATCAGGGTGGAAGAGCTGGGACAAAGAAGCTTACGAGACAGTTTCAGCTCTCGAAGAACTGAGTCCTTAGCTGAGAAAATGAAATTAACCTTCTTGAAATGATAGGTCACAATAAAAAGGAGCATGTTATTCATAATTTGTCCTTTGTCTGCATCCAAAAATGATTATAAAGTGACTCAAGATTATACATTAAGTATGTGCTGAACAATATAATTCAATATAAATTCTATTTACTTTCTACTAGATAAAACTTGTTAGCCATGTCTTAGTAACTTTATAGATTGAAAACTATTTAAATCTTTGTTAAGTTTATAATTCAAAAATTTTAAGCCAATTAGAATGGAATTCTCTTCCTCTAATTAATACATCCTTGCCATACTTGTCATTGTTTCATTGGTAAGACTTCACTCACCTCTCTCAACAAAAAGAGACACATTAAATGTTAATAATTGTTGAACCTAGTTGTTATACTACTTGTTCTCTTTCTGTATAGGTTTGAAGGTTTCCATCATCAAATTATTTTCTTTAAATGCTTACTGGTGAAAGAAAAGTAATAATAAATATAAATCTGTCTTACTGGCAAGCACGAGCCAATCAAAGGGGCAGAAAAAAAAATCCAAGGCAAAGATCAAAACCAAACAAAAACAATAGAAAACACTCTATATCTAAAATTAAAATAATACTGGCAATAAGAGAAAACCATATGCTCTAAACTTCAAACCAAGAGTAGGAAAACATTGATTCAACAAGCTGGAAGTATTTCTGCAAACAGTAAAAAACTATATATTCCTGATACTATATAAACCACTAAGGGATACACAGTACTTTTCATAAAAATATTTGGATTCTTTGCCAACCTAAATTTTAACAGATTTTGATTTGATTTTGTTCCTTTAATAATGATGAGGCTATGCAGGTGGCATTGTAAAAAATAATATAGTATGACATTTATTTTAAAACACAGCGGCCTCTGGGTGGCTCAGTTGGTTAAGCATCTGCCTTTGGCTCAGGTCATGATTTTGGATTCCTGGGATTGAGCCCAGTGTCAGGCTTCCTGCCCAGCGGGGAATCTGCTTCTTCCTCTCCCTCTGCCCTTTGCTCATGCTCTCTCTCAAGTAAATAAATAAAATCTTTGAAAAAAAAAACAAAGCAAAATAAAGATGAATAACAATAACGTGCTGCTTCTTTATGACTTGCTATTGTTATAAAATTATGGTAGAGTGTGAATCTGTTTTGCATATATGTGGTTTTTTTAATCAGAAAAATAAGTCCTGTTTATCCCTATTCATCAGCTGTAATAAACAATGTACTCTGAACTGACTGCAGCAATTCGAATGACTAAAGGTCACTCAATCAGTATTTTCCAGGGGCCTAATCTGTTGACAAGAGTTGCTGGTATCGCTGACTATGCTAACCAGAGAGAATCAAGGTGCTGTTACCAGATTTGTTGACCACGTAAGTCCAAGGTCCAGGTGTGAGTCAGACGCACCAGTCTTACCACAACCTCTGATACTCTCCAGTCAGCAGGAAAAAATGACTCATCAAAGTACTTCTTCTATTAACAAGTTAACATTTCGCCCTAATTCATCAATTTTTGTACAATCACACCAAACTGGGCAAATAAAATGCAATTTTATAGACTAACATACCTAATTACATAAGTTCTCTTCTTTATTGTATCATTTGGTTCACAATCTAAAATGGATTCAAACATGATTAAAAGTAACCAATTGGAAGAAGCTTGTCATGGTTCAATGGAACACAGCAGAACAATCTTACTAGTAAAAAGTGTCATTATTTTTTCTACAGGGTTTTAAAAATGATTACAGTAAGTATCCCATATCTTTTGGCATCTCCTATCTCTAAATTAAAAGAGTCAAAGTTTTAATTTTATGACTTTGTATTTTGTCATTTTTATAGAAGCCCTTTCTTCCAGTTATAAACACATTCTATTTTTTTCTAAATTATAATTTTCTTACAGATTTTTAAATAAATCTATATATTTACCTCTGATCCATCTGGAATTACAGTGAATAGTAACCACAACCGGGGCTCTAAGATACCTAGAGGATCTTCTGTTTGAAATCCTAGGAGCCTGGTCAAACAGAAGAGGCTACACGGGGTAAATACTGAGATAGTTCAGTACAAAAGCCAGAATAGGAGCATAATATTCTCCTAGAACACCACTATTTAATAAGTTAAAGTATATGTTTGGCCACTTGTACTTTCTAAGACATAAGTGATGGGTTATGGTTTTTCATGCATGAAGGAAAGAAACAAACACTTTTCATATACAATAAAGTAACTAGGATTACAGTGGAGGAAGTGCTCCAGAGCCAGGCTGCCTGGATGTACCACCTGTACCTGGAAGCTATTTAAACACTGTGCTCTAGATTCCTTGTCTAAAAGCTAATTAGCAGTGCCCTCTCCTCAGAGCACTGTTGTGGAAAGCAGTAAAACAGTTAACGTATAATGCTTTCAACAATGACAGAATAAGTTCTCAGTAAATATTAGATATTATTTTTAGTATTAATTGAGAAAGTATAATAATTCTGCAATCCTAAGTATTACAAGCAGGTGAAACTTTTTCTTTTTTCTTTTTTTTTAAGATTTATTAGAGAGAGAGAGTATGTGCGCATGCACGAGAGGGAGGACAGGCAGATGGAGAGAACTCTGAAGCAGACTCCCTGCTGAGCACAGGGCCTATGGTGGGGGGGGCCTTCCCATGACCCTGAGATCATGACCTGAGCTGAAACCAAGAGTCAGACACTCAACCAACTGAGCCACCCAGGCGCCCCACAAGCCACACAGGTGCCCCACCTGGGCATCCCACAAGCAGGTGAAACTTCTGAGAGCACATGCTACAAGGTGATAAAGCAATGGTTTGGATGTGGAAACATACATTCCTACTGAAACAATGTTATAAATTATTAACATGATACATCTAGCGGATTTAATTCATAAGGTAACCTAAAATTCAGTTTCTGCTCACCATGCCATTCATAACACTGCTACTAAGCCTTCTGCTGTCCCCTCTTTTGGAAAGAAATTGTACAAATGAGAAAGTATAGCTTTGAGAGAGAACAAGAGCCCTGACGTCCACCCAAGGAACCCACAGGAGCCTGCAGCCTTCTCAAAGTATTCCAACAAATGGGATCTACTCAACCTGTGTGCACCACAGAAGCATGCTGATTAGTAAACTCATAAACACTGGCACGTGGAGGGGGCATGCTATTGCACAGGGCCCCTCTGAACCGCACACCAGATCGAGCAACAGGAGAGTTAATGTCTGAGGGCTGGTTCTGTGGGCAGAGGCCAGGCCGAACCATCATTTTTGCCTAGCAAATTTTCTCACATGAACTTAAACATCTCCCTTGAGATACAGGCAAAAGTCTTAGAAGTGGTGTGGCTAGCAACTTTATGAGAAAGTAGAATTTGGCAGGGGCTGGCACACTTCAAGACCATCACTGTGGGTGCTACGGGGTGAATATTAACCCTGTCGGCTGAGAGATTGGCCTTCACTTCCTCCAACTGGGCCGCCTCTATTTCTACTAATTGCCCATTTTACTTGTCTCTCATCTGTGTGCAGCAGACACGTGAGCAGGGCAAATGCCAAATGCACAACACATTTTCAAAATTCAAATATATGTCCTGGAATATTTTGGTGCAAAATGCCATGATGTCTGGAATTTGCTTTAAAATATTCCAGGAGGAAAAAAAATGAAAGCAGATGAATAAATGAAAACTGAATAGATGAAATAAGAATGGCAAAATGCCAAAAAGTGTTGACACTGGGTGGTGGGTATGTGAGATCCATTAAGTGATTCTGCTTTGCATAGGATTCAAAATGTCCATTATAAAGGTAGTAGATAAACCCATTTTAAAACTGTTAAAATCCCCTTCTAAGTTAGTTTTCCCAGGATCCAACATCAGCAAATAGGGATATTAAAACTCAAACTCAGATTTTTGCTGTGATTGTTTTCAAAAAAAGCTTCAAGTCCAGAGTTCTTTTGGCTACTTCTTGCTGCTTCCCACATGTCTAAAAATAAACAGCACAGAAAGGGTTGTGCCAAAAGGTGTTACTCTGGATATCACAGACCTTACTTTCCTGGGCCCTCCTGGTACTCCTGGTTACTGGGACAGTTCCCACTGCAGTTACCACCAGAAGTTACCTATTAAGGCTTTAAAAGACTGCTCAGCAGGAATGTCATGACTGTCACCATCTCACCTGTTGAAGGTCTCCAGTAGAAACACTGATGATAAGAGTTGGTATAATCATGAAGCAGGCATTGTAGAAAAGCACTCCATATTTCCCTAACTCCTATAAAAACAAAGAAAACATTGAATTTTTGAAATATAAAGCATCAGATTTCCAAGGGCCAATTATACAACTACGTATTTATTGAGTTAAAAATTATTCTGAAAAAAATTATTCTGACCAACTTTATATTGGAATATATTCAGCAAATTCCTTTTTTTTAAAATCAAATTCCTCATGTAAAAGGCTTCCCTTCAAGTACATCATGATAGCAAAATAAACATTTGTTTTACACAAAAATGGGAAATAAAACAAATGAACATGGAGGGCCTCTGAGGTCCCACCCATCTCTAACATTCTAATTGGGTATTTTTTTAAAGTATCGTATTCAAAATAGGAAATCTGGAACAAAATAAAGAACATTTAAAATGTTAATATAAACAGAACTCCTTAAAAACATCTGCTCTTTCTGTTAAGGAGCAGCAGGGTTAAAACATCAGGTTTCTTGCTTTCTAATCTTGCATAAATTTACTTTTCATTAATGTGACTACAGCACTTCACCATTTTTCATGAATGGTGACATATTGTGACCCTCAAAGGGCAACAAACCTGTTTTTGTAAAACTGCCACCAGTAAAAAACAAAGGAGGCTGCAGAGAAAAAAAACAGCTCATAGAAATAAATCTGTCCATCAGAGCAAACTCCCTCACTCAACACAAAGAACTTGGAACAAAGCAACATATGCCTGGCTCATCCTCCCAAGCTTCTGAAACAGCTGGGGGAGTGGGGAGGGTGGGCAGGGGCCTGGACTCGGACTGGGGGGGGGGGGAGCCCCAGCGAGAGGCACTCATCTGGCCGCCATGGGGGGCCTGCTCAGTCACTGCCAGGAAGGGAACTTCCTGCCGGGCCGGCCCTGCCACCTGGGCCATTCCACAGAGGAATCTGACCCTTGGAGAAGTCCGTCCGAGTCACAGTGACCCGTCAGCAGCACAACTCCTCTCTGTAACCCACACCTTCAGACTCAAACTCAGTTGCTTTAGAATACCCCTGACTTTGCCCTGGTCACTGAGGAGGATGGCGAAAAAACTTCTTTTAGTTGGCCTTTCAAAATAATCTCTTTCTATATTTTGACTTTGCATCCAAAATAGTGGTACCTTTTCCCTCCCTGATTGTCACCCAAAACTTTGCAAGTTCAGGGGTCACAAGACCCCATACAGACTGAAAAAGATAACTGAAAAGAAATTAGTGATTTATAAAGCGTACCATGTAAATTAAATTATATGACAACTTTACAATCTTTTTTTTTTTCATGCAATTTCAGGGTCCAGATGACAAAAGCCCAAAAACCCTAGGAGTGAAGATCTGGTACCTTTGGGTCCATTTTCTGTTTGGTATAAACTCCATTTGCTGCTGTGAAGATATCATTCAGGAATACAAAAATATAGCCTTCCAAGTTAAAGGCAAGGTCAGAACTGGGAGGGAGAACACAAAAAGGAGGATGATTATTCAGAAACTCACAACACAACTTGGCCTTCAAAGCCTGCCTGCCTGTTTTATCTTTCCCTAATCAAATCCACTTGTGATGCTGGTAACTACCTTTTCTTCCTCTGGCAGATTTTTCCCCTTCTGTGGTTAATTCCTCTGCTTTGCCTTCAGACAAAACAAAACCAGGCCATCAGGTGGCTTCAATTTAATCATGAATGGCTTAAAACCAGAGGGACATTAACCATCTTCCTTTACTGCAAAGCCCTTTCTTTGGCTAACGATCCACTGGCATAATAACTGGTGAGCCCTGCTTTTTTTAAGGGGAATGGTTTGTCCAACCCACCCAGTGGCTTTGCTTATTGTAATCAACAGGGCCATCTCCAGGGTACAGTCCTGTGGGGACAGCTGAGCAGTTACTGGGGCAAAGAGGGTCCAATGAGGAACTGACACCCCCCATCTGGCGCCCAGCCGGTCCGTCATCCACCAGCACCCCCCACCCCTGTCCAGCAGAAAGGCAAGGCAGAGATCTGTTCCTTCTCTGCAACTTCTCTAAGGTTCCTTTCGCCCCATTCTTTTGAAACCTCTTCTCTTCAATTTCCACTTTACACAAATAATACTAGTATAAAAATGTTCAGGGGGATATGGCACAGGAAGGAGAGAGAACGGCTGAGCCATGATATGACTCACCTACTACACTTGATCTTACAGACAGTACCAGACCCATGTCATAATTCATAAATACCCAGCATCAAGGTTTCCTCTACCCTGTTAGGTTCAGTGACTGGAGCCTTCAAGTTTGACTGACAGTAGGTTAACAAGAGAAAAGGAATATGACTTTAAGTAAATATTTTACATATACGGGAGTTCACAAAAAATTTCAAATAAGTAATTAGACTCTAAGGCTTATATACCATTTTAAAAAAGAAGTTTGGATTCCAAGGAACAAATAAATTATGGGAAAAGGGCTAGGAAATTCATGGATGAAACTACTTGAAGATAAGGGTTATTGTAAGAGCTTTATTTATGCAGACTCATCTTGCTACCGATTCTCTATCACCAGTGATAAGAACTGCTTTCCTATTACTGGAGAAGGGGGGTGGGGGGGGCGCAGGTGAGACCACCTCTACAAAGGGATATTTATGGTCTGCTTTTAGGCAGGAAAGGGGAAGACAGAACTCTTCCTACATCTGTTGATTCTCAATTAATGCCATCAGTTCAAAATAATGTTTATGCCAAAGCTGCAAATTTTGGAGTGGCATATCCTGATCCCCTACAATATTAAAAAAATGAATTTTTTAAAGGCTATTTCTAACCGAGGAGAAGGAAATAAAGAGGCAAAAATTAAATCAAAATCTGAATGCAAATTAGGCCAATTTGCCTGAGGCTTCTGCTGGTATGATATATTTGTAAGAATGCAAATTCATTTTAGATCATCATAAATCAGAATCTCTGGGCTCAATCACAAGAAATAGAATCTCCCAAATCTCATGTCTACACACATTTGGCTCCATGTTAACAAGAGTCTGCTGTTCCATAAAATGGCAAAGCTGAATGGATAAAAAAGCCAGGGTTCTAGGGGAGGGGGAGGGAGTTACTCGCTCCCTCAGAGAGCCTGAGGGCAATTCCCGGAGTTCAGGCCTCCTGCTCCCGGGGCCACTGTCCCCAGCAGCAGTTGTTTAGGCCACTGGTAAAAGCACAGAAGCTTGAAAAGAATTTACTTGCTTTAATAAATGAAAGCCAATTCATGGTTACTTAACTCTTGTAGTTGCCATTTAGGGCTGTTTACAGATGTAGTATTTCAACTTTTTCTGGCCACGTGACTTGCATTGGCAAATAAAACGTAAGAGGAGACAACACACGGCATTTCCAGGCAAAAGGTTGAAAAGCCAATGCAGGCTTGCCCACAGGCCCTCTTCTCTCCTGGATAAGTAAGGACATCCCTTCTGAGGCAGGGCTTCCATCAGCCTCACCGCTGAGTAGCTACGATGAGCCCCGACGTGGCCGCCATGGCCCCACCGTGGCCTTAAGCCCAGCTCGGCTGGTCTAAGTGGGCGGCAGGATCAGAACACATTTGCGTGTGGACATGGGAGCTGTTGGTTGCAGCAGTGCAACCCAGCCCTTCTTAATCAGTTCTACAGTTGCATTTGGATGAGGAGATCCGCAGGAGGACAGCACAGTGGGGTCATGGCAGGCCTGCAGCTACGGAGGCTGCTTGTCCCCCATGCACAGTGCCCATTCTCTGGGAGCTGAGGAAGGGAAGAGTCCAGAAGTGCTCTTCCAAGCCAGCTCTTGGGGGCAAGTTAGATGCTCTCAAAACCCTATTTACCCCTTCGGCTCATGAGAATGTCACATATGGTAACGATGAGCTGAATTTCTATTCACCAGGCCTGGAAAGACACAGCGTCTGAAGTGCCATTCCTCACCAGGGCTCCGCAGACCCATTACCTTGTAAAAGTGCATGACTGGCTCTGTCAGGAGTTTCCAAACTGAGCTCTAAGAAGCTTAGAAAAGAGAGCTGCCCAGTGGACACCCCAATGCCCTGTGGGATGGGTGTACTCTTCACACAGGGCCTCCCTCTTTTAGCCACTTTGCTCCTCTGACTTCTTTGAAACAGAATCTTCATGAAGACACAGGCTATCAATGTTGCTGGGCCTGTGGGCTCCACCAGTGCTTGCAGGAGCTCAAGTCGGCCGTGGCCAGCACAGCGCCGAGGACGTCACACACGAAACCAGAAATAACAAACCTTGGTCCAGACAAAGGGCTAAACACATTTATAGTAAAAAATAGATTGCTAGTATGTCACCATCTGGCCTGCTATATCTTCTGTTTTGATCATTGTCTCCGCCAAGTAAAAAGGAAGCTCCATGTCCATTCAGTTTCCTGCTGGGTTCCCCAGCACCTGGAAGGGCGCCAGGCAGCCCACAACTTAACACTCCACATGTTTCTGTTGAACTTGGCCACGCACTCATGTAAACCTCAGTTTATTGTTATCTCGTCTAATTCACACAAAGACCCTACTAGGTGGGTCTATTCTAATCTTCATTTTCTAGTTGAACTAACTGGGGTGCAAGGAGGTTAAATAGCCTGTCCTGATTATATAGCTAGTAAGCCAGGAGACTAGGATAATACCCATATCCTTATTTATTTTGCAACTGGTGATCCAGAACCCTTATTTAAATATATATATATATATATATATTTTATATATATATAAATATATATATTTTATTTATTTAAAAGAGAGAGGGGCAGGGAGAAGCAGGCTCTGCACTAAGCATGGAGCCAGACGCAGGGCCCAACCTAGGGACCCCCGAGATCATGACCTGAGCTGAAATGAAGAACTGGACGCTTAACCAATTGAGCCCACCCAGGAACCCCCAGAACTCTGATTTCTAAATCAGTGAAGGAAACTAGTTTAACTGAAATTCATTCAATCTTGGCATTCTTCCCTTCATTCAGGTAGGTTTTTCTTTTCCATTGCATTCTTTACTTTACAGATGAGTATAACTGAGGCACAGAGAGGTTGAGCAGAAGCTGGCAAGGGGCCAGGCTAAGTCTTGGACCCAAACATACTTTATTAACCACTAGGCTATAAAAGCCAGGAGTCTGAGGGTCTGCTTTCAAATGCAAACCTGGGAGTCCTCATTCTTGCTCTTGCATATTATCGAATAAGATACCATAGTTGACCCCAAACAACCCAGGTTTGAACTGTGCTGGTCCATTTATCCATAGATTTTTTTTTCAATAAATTCAGTACAGTAGCATAATGTATTATCTCTTCCTTAGGTTTTTCTTAACACTTTTCCTAGCTTGCTTTATTTTAGGAATACAGTATATAGTACACATAGCATACAAAATACATGTTAATCGGGATCCCTGGGTGGCGCAGTGGTTTGGCGCCTGCCTTTGGCCCAGGGCGCGATCCTGGAGACCCGGGATCGAATCCCACATCGGGCTCCCGGTGCATGGAGCCTGCTTCTCCCTCTGCCTATGTCTCTGCCTCTCTCTCTCTCACTGTGTGCCTATCATAAATAAATAAAATAAAATAAAAATTAAAAAATAAATAAATAAAAAAAATTTAAAAAAATACATGTTAATCAATTATTTATGTTATCAGTTAAGCTTCCTGTCAACAATAGGCTATTAGTAGTGAAGTTTTTAAGGAGTCGAAAGTTACACTTGGATTTTCCACTGTGTGGGTGCAGAGAGTTGGGGGGGAGGGTTGTTGAGCCCTTCATCCCTGTGTTGCTCAAGGGTCAACTTGGTCATGCACTGGCTCATGTCCCAAATATACAAATACATTTAATGAGAGTATCCCACCCTTGGAAACAGACTGCTAAGACATCCCAGGTGATAAAACAAATCAGCATACAAGGGCTTTATAAAGCTGTTGTTCTTGACCAAATGCCCAAGAACTTTTCAAGTAAATTTTTTGTATTGAAGACAATCACTCAGTAATAAAAGCAAATAGCGTATTCCTTTTTATGAAGAAAAGCTATATTCATAGCTTCTAACGTTCCCATTATACGTTCTCAGAAATGTTCTGGCCAAGTTGGAACCCCATCTGACTTTCACAGGAACACATGGGGAATCCACTAACATCAACAGACTTGTCTCTTGGCTGCTCAATTCAACTGCAGCCAGATGGAAAATGGAAAATGAGGGCGGGGTCGGGCCTATTGTCAGAGGCACAAAGAGCTTATTGACCAGAAACAGTCCAAAGTCTTACCCAGCTGCTATGAAAGCACCAAGTATGATGGTAAAAACACTGGCAATGATGTTCAAGGAATACTGTTTCCTGTAATAAATAAATGGATGGATGGATGGACAGAAAAAGAAAGGAGGAGGAGAGGAAAAACACATGGATTATAATTCTTCAACTGAATATAGACATTGTTCACAGTTTTATAGCTAACATCAAACAGATATCAATTTACATAAAGAAAACACTGTAAGTATCTATAAGTGGGTTAATAAATCACACCAAATCTATTTATTAATCAGCTATCTCATCTAATATAAATGTATTTCCGTTCTCATTGGAAAGATGTGTGACAAAATGGAGAAGAGGCCCTGCTAGCAGTTCTACTCAGTCTTATATCAAGCACCCAAAGATTAAGGTAAAATTCAAAAGCAGGACTTCGAACACTGAGCCATCATCCAAATTTCATCGCTAAATAATCTTCACAGCAAAATTAAGAATCATCTTTTTTGACATCAGCCTGAGTATCTTTATGAAATATTTTTATAAAAATTAAATTAAATTTTATTAATTTATTCCTATGTTACATCATAATCACTGCAGCAGAATGGATTTCTGTGATTTCCTGCATTCCTATCTGGTATGTATACATGGACAGTTTTTCCTCTGTATTCCAAAATCAGTGTATATTCCATCTAGGAAACATATTTACATTTGTTGGTGCATTGTTGCGTTTTTAAAATAATTTTCTATTATAAACATTTAAATATAAAGTTACAAGCAAAAAAAGTAAAAAAGTCACTCATTATGTTCTTAAGGAATCATGGAAACAGGAGATACTTTTAAGTGAGTAAACCAAGGGGCCCTAAGTTACTGCAACTAGCAGTTCAAGTTAACTATTTGGAAAAATAGATGTTGAGAATTTGCTATGCAAAAATAATGTGGGGTGAAGGGAAAGGACACTAGAGGAATAGAGGAAAAACAAAAATCACCCAAGTATGATGGTTTCCAGGAGTAAAGTGAGTGGAATGGTAAATTTCCTGAGCACGGTGAACATCGGCAAGCTGTTGGGAAAAGATTCAAGTATAATAACATCAGACACCAAGTATTTTTTTAAACATATTTTGCATTTTAATTAAGCCCACTAACTTTCCAAATTAAATATAAGAAATTAACCTTAATTCTCACATATGCTATTAGCAAATCACATTAAATAATAAAAAGAAATGGAGATTTAATAGTTTCATGCCGGGCAGCCTGGGTGGCTCAGCGATTTAGTGCCGCCTTCAGCCCAGAGCATGATCCTGGAAACTCAGGATAGAGTCCCATGTCAGGCTCCCTGCATGGAGCCTGCTTCTCCCTCTGCCTGTGTCTCTGCCTCTCTTTCTCTCTGTGTCTCTCATGAATAAATAAATAAAATCTTTAAAAAAATAGTTTCAGGCCACTTTCACTTATAGCAATTTTTTTTCACTTATTAATAATTTTTAAAAACCATGCTATTCAACTACCGCAAAGATTGTGCTAAAATTACAAAGCCCATTCTAAAAGAGTGTATGCAATGTAAACCAACAAACACACCCTTTGTCAAATCAAGTTGAAACTATGTATGAACAGGCATTTAGTGGTGCTAAACTTGAACCTAAATATTTCTTTTGGGAAACTTAACCAAAGGTAATAATACAAAAGAAAAAAAAAATCATGTGCACAAATATGTTCACTGCAATTGTGTCTTGGGGAAAACATCAAAAATAACTTAAAAGTCACATAAAACAATGATAAAATAAATACGACACATCTACTTGAGGGAACATGGTATGTTACCTATATAATATAAAACTTTATACTGGGACACCTGGGTGGCTCAGTGGTTGAGCATCTGCCTTTGGCTCAGGGTGTGATCCCGGGATCTGGATTGAGTCCCATGTCGGGCTCCCTGCATGGAGCCTGCTTCTTCCTCAGCCTGTGTCTCTGCCTCTCTCTCTCTCTGTTTCTCATGAATAAATAAACAAAATCTTTAAAAAATGAATATTAAATAAAACAAGGAGGACAGTTTCAGTCTACAACTGAAACAAGACAGTTTACATATGAGAAAGAGAAAAGACTGAAATCAACATTTAAAATAGTATGTTATAGGATAAAATTATGGGTTATTTTTCCCCAAAATTTTATGTAATAAAGCTATATTCACTGTCTTTTAAAAATCCTTAAAAACCTTCCAGTGGCTCTCAAAAGCCAGAGACTCCAAGACATAGTTCGATGCACAGTCAACGAACTGCTTGGGCTGGAACAGCCCACTTCAATCTGCTTCCAGGTATGACCCTGAGTAGATGGTGACCTGAAGAAAGAAAGTGAGAACCAGACCCAGGAGGGTAGTGGCCAGCTCCTCATAACCAGACTTGAGGAGGGGTTTCATGTCATCGATGACACCACATCCAGAGAGCAGGTAGGAATGAATTTTCAGGAACTTTATATCCACAACTTAATTAAAGATGTCTTATGAGACTGGTTAGAAGTGCCTTTTTCAAAGCAAGCCAAAAGTCAATTAATTCCAAAAAGCATTTTTAGATGATGTCTTTTAAAAGCAAGTAAGGGACAGCCCTGGTGGTGCAGCGGTTTAGCGCCGCCAGCCCAGGGTGTGATCCTGGAGACCGTGGATCAAGTCCCACGTCGGGCTCTCTGTATGATGCCTGCTTCTCCCTCTGCCTGTGTCTCTGCCTCTCTCTCTCTCTCTCTCTCTGTCTCTATGAATAAACAAAATCTTTTTAAAAAATTAAAAAAAAATAAAAGCAAGTAAAGGTATATTTAATGATGAAAAGCTGAATGTTTCCCCCCTAAGATCAGTAAGAAGACCGTAATATTTGCTCTCAACACTAACGTATCTATTTAACAAGTCCTTCAGAGTCTAGAAGGAGCAGTATTATCTAGTTATTGATTATGGACATATAATCAAAGGAATAGGATTTAGAACCAAGAAATAAATCCATACAATTATAATCAATTCAAGAGCTCTTTTCAAGAGCATGCCAAAACAATACAATGGAAAAATGTAATCAAAATCATAATGAGGTACTACTTCACAACTACTAGAACAGCCATAATCCAAAAGATAGACAACAACAAATTTGGCAAGAATGTAGAGAAGCTGTAGCCTTCTTACATTGCTGGTGTAAATTAGTGTAGCCACTTTGGGAAACAGTTCAACAATTCTTCAAAAATTTAAATAGAGAACTGTCATATGACCAACAATCCTACTCCCAGGCATAGATCCAATCAATGGCAATCCCATTCTTCCAAAACCATGAAGTCATCTTTGTCTCCTTTCTTTGTTTCACCTCACATGTTAATCATCAAGAAATTGTGTTGGCTGGTCCTTCACAAAATATCCAGTACCCAGATTGTGGCCTCCACATAATCTCTAACATTAAAAATAACCAGGGGATCCTTGGAGAAATGCAGGAAAAGTCCAAAATAAGCCTGGGACATCATGTGGTATACAGCAAGGAAATAATCAAGCTACTGGGGCTCTAGAAGATAAGAGACAACTCAAAGGGGCTTCCATTGGCCTGAGATGGGATAATGTGAGTATCAAAAGAATTCTTTATATGATGAATTGAAACATCAAATAAATGAAATAGAGCAACAAAACAGATTAGAGAACCCATAAATAAATATACACAAATATAGTCAACTGATCTTTGACAGAGGAGCAAACATAATTCAATGGAGAAAGGATGATCTTTTCAACAAATGATGCTCAAACAATTGGACAGCTACATGCAAAAAAACAGAATCTAGATAGAGCCTACATCTTTCCCAAAGAAACTCAAAATAGATCCTGCTCTTAAATATAAACTGCAAACTATCAAAAATCAACTAAAATGTATAACTAAAACCAATATTTCACATTTTGTTTTCCACAACCACAACCTGTTCTTTCCACATAAGAGGAAAGACAACAGGTCTAATTTTAGTTCTCAGTTTTATACGATCTTCTCCTTCTACTCAACCTCATACCTGCCCCCTTTTACTCTCACCAAACTCACAGGGTTTTCCTCCATCTCTGTCACTCTTTGCACAAACTTCATTTTCTCATTATTCACTTGTGTTAATTAGGCTACACATCTTGCACCATGTATTCTGATGGTTGGCTTGGTCTTTCTATACTTTCATTTCCACTTTTTACAGTACAGTGACTTTTAACAAAAGTAGTTAATCAAAGGACCCTGCAATACATGCAAATACAAATTTCAGAAGTATACAACGCACTTAAAAATAACATCTATCACTTTTCTTCCTCTGTACCAAACCTGACCTATACCAAATCTGACAGAATGTTCCTGCTTTTACAAAACCATGATGAAATCAGTTGCACAGAACCATTCAGAGAAATGAATTGGATATTGGATATATAATATAAATAAATCCTCCTGGATAAATCAGACCTCTGTCTTGATTCCCACAGATCTCATGTTCTATGTTCAGATTTGATTATAAAGAAAAAAAAATCAACTTTTTAACTTTCCTAAAAACATTAGCAAATCAAACTCAAAACTCCATTTAATTTCCTTAAATTATTAAATATTATTGTCTTCTGTATGTAGCCCATGCAGTACCTTCAAGGTCAAACTTGGTCTTTGTACCATTGGAAACAAATGAGCCAAGAACCTCCCATCAACCATTCTCCTGCACTCTACCTTAATTTACTTGTGCTTGATAATCCACTTATGTGATTTCCAATGTAGAGAAGAGGCAAAGGAAACAGCTTCCATGGAAAAAAAGAGAGAATATTTGATTAGGACTCCAAAAATGATTTTCCTTCACATGTATGAACGGTGACACTCCCTGTCAGTAAGCAAATCATTCTAGTCCATTCCCCTGTAGCAGCTGTGAATTTTTCACAACCTAAAACACATCATGAGTTTCTCCATGTGCCCAAATTAGTTAGGTGAGCAGTAATAGCTATAACCATGGCAGGGTGGGGTAGGGCTGCATTGAAAGAGAAATGTTGACCCTGACAACTTTAGCAGACTATTTCTCTACAGGAAGGCTCTGAATAAGCATCTCTCTCAAGTGGAAACCCCTGGGTTTCAGATGACAAAATTGCACGGGACTGTTTCAGCTAATAATGGGTATTTATAGTATATGCATAAGATTCAGAAGGTCCCCTGAGAAGGTGGACAAACTTGCTACCTATGCATTATGCACTTTTCTGGATAACAACAAAGGTTCAGATCTCACTGGAATTAACAAACTTGGTGACCCTTTCAAAAAGTTGTGTCTGGGATCCCTGGGTGGCGCAGTGGTTTGGTGCCTGCCTTTGGCCCAGGGAGCGATCCTGGAGACCCGAGATCGAATCCCACGTCGGGCTCCCGGTGCATGGAGCCTGCTTCTCCCTCTGCCTGTGTCTCTGCCTCTCTCTCTCTCTGTGTGACTATCATAAATAAATAAGAATTAAAAAAAAAAAAGTTGTGTCTACCAGCCACATTACTTTGGAGTTACTTTATTTGTTTTCAAGGTGCATAATGATTACCTATTTACCAAGGTTAAACAATGTTAACAGTAGTATTTGAGTTAGGTTTAACTGAGCTCTTAGCTCCTGAATTATCTTCTGATTATCAAGAGAAATATTGTTCAAAACATACTGAAGAAACACACGACATGTAAGACCTAGTCTTCCATAAAACGAAAAAAATATATATATCCTTTCATTAGGTCACACAATAACTGAAAACTTTTTGACTGATACAATAATCCATAGCTATTAAGGTGAGCCTAGCATTTCTTTTTCCACTAAAAAGACATTAAGCATGCAACTCAGATAAGATACTCTTTGAAGGATTTTGAAATAGTGTCATCTACCCCCCCAAATTTATAAAATGTTATTATTAGGAGATTTGTTCAAGAAAGAAGACATAGAGGACCTCAGATCCAGGACCTTCCCCTTCATTCACAACAATCTGGCTAGCAGCCTACAACTGATCCTGGAATATTATAACTTTAGAAGTTATTAGGCATTGAAAAGAATCAGTTGGCCCCCTTTCCTTATATGATTCAAAATAAAAACAATACTGACTTCTAGTTTTTAGTAACAATGGGCTAGATTATATGTATTAATCTCCCCACTAAAAACAATTAAAAGTGTTACATAAAATAATTCAAAGCCTTCATAAAAGTATGAAGGGAAACTTCCAAAAGTATGTGGGAAAATAGTGAGTCCCTAGGCCAAAACTAAGGTGAAAACAGAAACCCAGAGAGAAACAATGGAAGCCAGAAGACCGCAAAACTGCCTCCTCGAAGGTCTGTCAAGTTAGAATGCTACCCCCAATGACAATATCTTTCAAAAGCAAAGAAAACTGTAGTCTTTTTCAAACAAACAAACAAAAACTAAGGGAATTTAATCAGACCATTAATAAAGTACATCCTAAAGGAGGTATACTTTAATCAGGAGGAAAGTGGAAAGTGTGAGATGCAAAAAGGAAAAAAAAAGCAAAGAAAGCAATAAATACATGGGTAAATATACATGGATAAATATAAACAAATATTGATGGTTTAAAGAAAAAAGAAAAGAAAAACATACTGTGAGATTTACATAAAGCTAGAGGATTAAAGTACCTGCTGACAAGAGCAAAATAAATTGGGAGGAGAGGTAAATGTTGACAAGGAAGACACATTTATTAATCAACTTTAGATTTTGGTAAGTTAGGTATGCTTGCTGTAATTTCCAGGGAAATGTAAAAGAACTCAAACAGAAAGGGTACACCTCATATACAGTTGACCCTTGAACAATGCAGGGCTTAGGGATGACAACCCCCTGCACAGTTGAAAATCCATGTATAATATTACTTCCCAAAAACGTAAGTATTAACAGCCTATGTTTGACCAGTAGCCTTAGCAATAACATAGTCAATTAACGTGTATTTTCTATGTTATATGTATTATATGCTATACTCTTACAATAAAGAAAGCTACAGAAAATGTTAAGAAAATGATAAGAAAGAGAAGACACATCTACAATACTGTACTATACTTATAAAAAAAAAATCCACGGAGCAGCACCTGGGTGGCTCAGTCTGTTAAACATCTGCCTTCATGAGTTTCAGGTCATAATCCCAGGGTCCTGGGATCAAGCCCGGCATCTGGCTCCCTGCTCAGTGGGGAGCCTGCTTCTCCCTCTCCCTCTGCCTGCCACTCCCCCTGCTTGTGCTCATTCTCTCTCTGTCAAATAAATAAAGTCTTTAAAAACAAGAAAAAGAAAAAAAAAAACAAAACAAAAAACAAGAGAAATAGACAAATCCATAATCAGAGATGAAGGCTGCAACAGGACTCCCCATTTCATATGGTCTTAAAACATGACTTTGACACTTCCTTCCATCCAGAGGTAGGATCTAGGTCCCTTCCATTTAAAATTGCATGGAACTGTTTCAACTAATAATGTACAGATGAAATGATACTATGTGATCTTTGAGGCCAGGTCACAAAAAGCAAGGTAGTTTTTCCCTGCTTGCTGGAACACTCGCCCTTGTAGAATTCAGTACTATGTAAGAATTTTGACCACCTGGAACCTGCCATTTTGTGAGGAAGCCCAAACTAGCCTACATGAGTGACATATAGAGAGGCCTGAGATAATAAGAAGAGAAAGATTTGGGACCAGGTTCCAGCTGCACAAACCAGAACCCCCATTGTTGTTTCCACTCTGCTATTGTCTGTCTGAAACTATACAGATGCCCTAACCCAGAACTACCCAGTTGAAAACTGTCCCTAATTCCTTAACCACAGTACATGTGAGAAATAATACAGTGATTATTGTTTTTAGTCAATAAGTTATGCAGCATAAGATAATTGGAACAGGGCACCTGGGTAGTTACAGTCAGTTAAGTATCCAACTCTTGGTTTTGGCTCAGGTCGTGACCTCATAGTTGTGAGATCAAGATACACATCAGGCTCTGCTGGGCATGGAGTCTGCTTGAGGTTCTCTCTCCCTCTCCCTCTGCACCACCCCCCACAAATAAAAAATCTTTTTAAAAAAGATAACTGGAACAGGCATATAAGGTATCTACAAAAACCCTACAGCAAACAACATACTTAATGTGAAATGTTAAAAACTTTCTCTTTGAAATCAAACATGTCAGTATAACCATTTCAATCAAAATTGCACCTAGGGTCCTACACTATACACTAAGGCATGTAAAAGAAATAAAAGTTAGAATGTTGGACAAAATGAAGCAAAACTGTCATTTTTTGCAGATGAATGTGAATGTAGAAAAAAAATCTAAAGGAAACCAGAAGTAAATTATGATATATTAATTCAATAATTAGTTCTATAATTTTGTGGATATAAAATAATATATAAATACATTATAAAATATATCACTCTAATTTTCCAAATAATATATTTTTTTAAAGATATATGTAAGAGCAAAAAAGGAAAAAAAGGAAGAAGTACCTTGGAATAAACTAACAGAAATGTTAGACCTCTACAGAGAAAATTATAAAGTTTTACTGAGGGCAATTAAAGAAGGTATACATATACTATGTTGACAGATTGAAATATTCAATATTTTTAAAATATCAATTTGTCCCAAATTGACTTATAACATCAATGAAATCCCAATTAAAATCCCAAAAGGTTATTTTTCTGAAACGTGACAAGCTGCTTCCAATATCCATATAGAAATTTGAAGGATCGGACAGCCCGGGTGGCTCAGCGGTTTGGTGCCGCCTTCAGCCCAGGGCCTGATCCTGGAGACCTGGGATAGAGTCCCACATCAGGCTCCCTGCATGGAGCCTGCTTCTCCCTCTGCCTGTGTCTCTGCCTCTCTCTCTCTCTCCTCTCAGAGTATTCTCATGAATAAATAAATAAAATATTTTTTAAAAAAAAAAGAAAAGAAATTTGAAGGATCAAGAACAAAGGAAAGATTTGCTCTAGTAGATAGCAAAACTGTTCACAAAGCTATAGGAATGAATACTGTGTGGTAATGTTGCAAAAAACCAAACAGACAAATGAAAAGACATAGAGAGCACAGAAATAAAATATGTGAATACCAATGCCCATTATTTGGGGGAAAAAAATGAAATTGAAACATTACCCCACACCATCCACACAAATTAACTGCAAACAGATTAAAAACCTAATTCTGAAAAACTACATATTTTTTATCTAGAAAATATATTCATAACCTCAAACTGAGGAAGGATTTCTTAAGAATAGTGATTAATCATAAAGGAAAAGACTAAGAAAATTTAACTAATTTTAAATTAGGGGGATCCCTGGGTGGCGCAGTGGTTTGGCGCCTGCCTTTGGCCCAGGGCGCGATCCTGGAGACCCGGGATCGAATCCCACGTCGGGCTCCCGGTGCATGGAGCCTGCTTCTCCCTCTGCCTGTGCCTCTGCCTCTCTCTCTCTCACTGTGTGCCTATCATAAACAAATAAAAATTAAAAAAAAAAATTTAAAAATAAATAAATAAATAAATAAATTAGGATTACTGCTTATGATAGGAAATACATGATAAATACATGTAAACAAAATAAAAAGATACACCCCAGAGGGAGAAAATGTATTTGCAATACTGTATGTAATTAACAAGAGGATTATCATTAATAAATTTTCTTTTAACTCCTAAACAGATCAGTGAAAAAAAGACATCAACCCAACAGAAAAATGGGCAAGTCTTGAACCAATACTTCACAAAAAAGGATATCCAAAATGAGCATTAAAAAAACCTCACTAATAGTCAAGAAAATGCAAATTAAAGCCGAGGTCATTATATCCCACCAGATTAGCACAATTTAAAATGACTGACATTTCAACACATAGTAATTAAAATAGCAAAAAAGTAAAAAATAAATAAAATGACTGACCTATCAAGGATTGGCAAGAAGGCAGAGCAGCAGGGACTTTCACGCACTTTTGTCAGGAGTGTGAACTAGTACCACCACTTTGGAGAACACGTTGACGTTATCTACTCAACCACTGCAACCATTCCGCTTCTTTTTTTTTTTTTTAAGATTTTATTTACTTATTCATGAGACACAGAGAGAAACAGAGACACAGGCAGAGGGAGAAGAAGGCTCTATGCAGGCACCCGGATGTGTGACTCGATCCTGGGAATCTGGGATCACTCCCTGAGCCAAAGGCAGATGCTCAACCACTGAGCCACCCAGGCGTCCCCCATTCCACTTCTTAATAGACCTTCCAGAGAAACTCATGCCACAAGTGCCATTTTAGACCGAGTTGTGTCCCCTTAAAATTCATATTTGAAGCCCTAATGCCCATGTGACTATTATCTGGAGATAGGGTTTTTAAGAGGTAGTTAAGGTTAAATGAGGTCATAAGGATGGGGCCCAACCCAATAGGACTGATGTCCTCCTAAGAAGAGGAGACACCAGGGCAGCCCTGGTGGTGCAGTGGTTTAGCGCTGCCTGCAACCCAGGGTGTGATCCTGGAGACCCGGGATCGAGTCCCATGTCGGGCTCCCCGCATGGAGCCTGCTCCTCCCTCTGCCTGTGTCTCTGCCTCTCTCTTTCTATGAATAAATAAATCTTTTTAAAAAAAGAAGAAGAAGAAGAAGAAGAAGAAGAGGAGGAGGAGGAGGAGGAGGAGGAGGAGGAGGAGACACCAGGAGTGCACGCACAAAACATAAAAGGTCACGTCAGACATAGCAAGAAGGCAGCTATCAAAACACCAGAGAAAGAATTTATACCTCAAACCAACCCTGCCGACACCTTGATCTTGGACTTTTTGCTTCCAGAACTGTGAGAAAACTCATTCTTGTTGTTTAAGCCCCCAAGTCTGTTGTTTTTGTTATGGGAGCCCTAGCTGACTGATATATGTGCTCTGAGATCCAACCCTAAGTATGTTCAGAACAGTATTCTCTTTCCAGAACATGCAAAAATAGCAAAACATAATTCAGGAATGTGTATTAGAATAATTACAAAGAAAGCAAGAAAAGTATATTATAAGAGAATAATGAGTAAGGAAGATTTTGTGATCCCATTTCATGACCTAGGCAAGGACTGCACAGGTTATTATTCATTCAACTATACATTCATGTTGATGCCTTTTTACCCTACATTTAGATTCGGATTTCACAATTTTAAAATGTTTAAAAACTATAGTGTATCATAAACTAAGTGTAAGCAAGCCCAACAATATTCTGATTTTTCCTATTACGACTGGATTAATAGCTTTCATTATACTTCAATATTTTGTTTTTCTCTTTATGTGGATGTCCCTGATTACTGATGCCACATGCATGTGCTTAGTCAGACTGATGAACAATTTAGTGATGAATAATTTAGATGCCAGCACCAGCATCTTTCAGATCTTAGAGACACAGTAGTAAAGAAGCCATGCAAGGTCCTCATCCTCAAGGAAGTGACAGTCTGATTTAATTCCCTAAATCTAAAAATGTCATCATAATCCAATCAATACCACCTGTTTATAGGACCGATCTAAGAATTAAATGTCTGGCTTAAAGCAACTATTTATTGAACCACCAACTGTTTTAAAAAGGTAGTTCTATTCCACATTCCCAGGAAGGAAAGGCAGGTTTTATGTTTCTAGTTCCTCCACAGAAAAATTCGTATATTTCTAGGTATATCAAATTGTATTCTTCATTCCACTCACAGCTCTTATCAATCCAAGCTACAAATGAAAACTTCTAACAAGATCAGAAAAGTAGGGCTTACCAGCCAAATCTCACCCATTTTTTTGTCCATGTAAATAAAGTTTTATTAGCACACAATCACAGCAATTCATTTATATATCAGGATACAGTGAATAGTTCCAACAGAAATGGTCTGTCCTACAAGCCTAAATATATATTACTTGGTGTGGTTTTTTTTTTTAACCAAAAAAGCTTACCAATTTCCTTTTCAGAAGATATAAAGTATTTATTTAATGTCATTTGCTAAACACACACTATTACTATTACTACATTACATTAATGGACAACTGAATGAATAACAGAATATCTTTATTAAGTTTCTACTCAGTGTAAGCAGGAAGGAAGCACAGTGTGTGTGGAACATGACGTGTATTCTCAGATCAATTTATAACTCTATAGTATTTTCACATCTTCCAACAAAGTTGTATTTACTCTTCATCACATACCTTCACTGGAATTTTCTTGTCAAAATCAGGGAAGTGAATTATTTTATTGAGTTTGGACACATATAGTATCATTATGGTAGCTGCCATCTAAAAAAAAAAAGGTAGAAGGTAGAAACTTCAATAAAATATCTGAAAAGACTATTTGAGGTACAAAGACATCATCAGAAGAAAACACATTCATCAAAAAGAAAATATTATTCAGAAAAATCCATACTCTAGGTTCCAAATAATAACTATTTCTTAGAATATTAAAATTGTTTTTCTTGCCAATGTATGAATTCCATCAGAACTATAGGCAAAAAGTACAAGATCAAATAGACTTACACACATACATATGATATCAAGGGGCTCAAGGAACAGTGACAGGAATAAAGAAATGGTGTCCCCAAAACTGGTCAGAGTGACCACGGTCATGAGGCCACTCCTTGATGCTGGATCATAATTCCTGTGTCCCAAGCCTATGGCCACCTTCCCACATAAAGTGAATCTATGGGTAGGGCAAAGGGGGAAATATCCACACATAAACACACTTTCTGTTAAGTCCAATATTCCTATAATACAGAAGACAAATTAGGAGAAAAACAATTTTAAAAAAGATTTATTGTTCTCTTCAATCTAGCCAGTACTATGAAAATGTCTCATTCAAACCCTATTAATCTGGAGTCCATCAAGTATATTAGAAATACTCCAGATTATTATTATGAAAGAAAAAATTTTAATATCATCTTCCTATGCAAATTTTAGAACTTACTCAATTTTCTCCATTTTATGATGCAAGAATTTAAGAATTCCTTCAACATGATCATCATCCTAAACCTTGAGCCTAATGAGCTTACAAATGTAATACTTATGATAAATATAACATGAGTCCATCTTGAATTATAATTAGTTTATTTATGACTTACTTTATAATTCTTACAGAAATATATTAACACTTACTTAAAATATTCTATAACTCAGGCTTTTTAAATTAGGTCTACTGTTCTCTTCCCCACAAATTGCATATCAGAAAGGCTTTACCTTGAGTACAAGCCAGTGAATTTATTTGCCTTGGGGATTACTAGGGGCACATTATCACATATTCACTGATCTTTTAAAGTACTTTTTTCTATGTGTTTCACATTGAAAGACTAAGATAATATATTTTTGACCTCAAGGAACTATTTTCATTTCTTAATATTTTTTCTCCCTAAAACATTGTCACAAAGAATACCTTATCAAAAACATTTAACCAGAATAATGCTTAATCATACAAATGACATCCTTTCCAAGATTCGCAATTAAAAATTTAGCTAACAGATACAATTTTAATAATTTTACATTTTTCTCCCTATAAATTAAAGCAAATCCAAACCAAAAAAAAAAAAAATAACTTGGGTGCCTTTTACCACTTGCCTATTAGAAATCACCAGCATATGATCAAGAGAGTAAACAAGTCACAAATTAATATTAATGGGAAATTTCAGAAGTAGCCAAATGGGGATAGTCTGAAAGCTTATCCAACCTTGTCTTTGTACTCGAGAACAAAAAAATCACAAACCGCAAGAAGCAGAATGCAAATATGTTTCGTTTGGCCCATAGAGAGTTTTGTAAAAATTGGAATGTGTGGCCAGCATTTACAAATTTGATGTAAAAATTCAAAAGCCTTGCTTCTCCTGAAACACCTCCAGAGTTTTGATAATAAGGGCATAGTGAATGGGATTGCATCTCCCCAGCCCTTTCTCTCTGGGTACAGTGGCCCATCCCACCCCAGTCTCCAACCCATTCATTTGTCATCCACCAGGTCTTGTAGGCTTTCCTTCTCCTGGCTCCTTGCTTTACAGCAATTAAATTCAATTAAGGAAGTTGAAACAAGTAGTTCATTTTTTCCCCTTCCAAATACAACTGTTTCTAAATTATAGAAAGACATAAAATGTGTATCATTATTTCATGCTCTTTAACCACAAGTATCCTGATCCTCTGGCCCTCCGCCAGCTGAATAAATTTGTAAAGCACAAATTTATGTCTTAAACAAAAGCACTTAAAATTTCATCATGTATAATGACAACTAAGCAGTTAATCTTTCTTTTTCACTTACCTGTCCAATTCCAAGAAAAATTGGTGATGGGAATCTACAAAAAAACACAGAATAACAAATAACTTTAGCAACTGATAAAAATTTGCAGTCTTTAATACATAATGGCAGGAGTTATTTAAAAAGATATTACTTTTTTTTCATTCTTAGACAATTAAAACTTAACATAAAATTCATTGACTTTTCATTTGTTTTTTTTTAAAACTGATTGTTGCTAAACTTGGTGATTTTCTATTGTCCCTTGCCTGTCATGATATTAACAAACAACATGACTATGTATGTAGAAAGCCAAAATAATCTGCGGATAAATTATTAGAATTAATAAATAACTTTAGCAAAGTCATGGGCTACAAGATGAAAATATGAAAAAATCATTTGTATATCTACATGCCAATAAGAAACAAAGTGAAAATTTTAAAAAGATCATTTTATAATAGCACTAAAAACACATCAAATAATCTTAACTGTTCATTTTATGATATTAAGGAATTATTTTTGCTTTTTTAGGTATGAAAAATATTAGGGTGATATTTTTTTAAAACGAAAGAGCCCTTCTTATCTCTTAGAAATACATACTGAGGGACACCTTGGTGGCTCAGTCAATTAAGCATCCAACTCTTGATTTCGACTCAGATCATGATCTCAGGGTGGTGAGATCGAGCCCCATGTCAGTCCCCATGCTCAGAGTGGAGTCTGCTTGAGATTCTTTCCCCTCCCACGCCCTTCCCCTAACCCCTTGCTCACACAAGCTGTCTCTCTCTAAAATAAATAAATAAATAAAATCTTTTGAAAAAAGAAATACATACTGAAATGCATGTGATGATATATTTTTAATCTGCTTCAAAATCATCTGGGGGGAAATGGTAGGACTGAATGGAGGGGGGGATACAAATGTAGTAAGGTTGTTGAAACTGGGTGAGGGCTCTATGATAATTCATCATTATACAGACATATCTCATTTCATTGCGCTTCACTTTATCATGCTTTGCACATACCACTCTTCACCATACAAAGTAGGTTGGTGGTAACCCTACTTGAGCAAGTCTATTGCCACCATTTTTCCAATGGCATTTGCTCACTTCATCTGTGTCACATTTTGATAATGCTCCTAATATTTCAGACTTTTTCATTATTATTATTATACTTGTGATGGTGATCTGTGACCAGTGATTATGACCCACTGAAAACTCAGATGATGATTAGCATTATTTCAGCAATAAAGTATTTTTAATTAATATATACATTATTTTTAAAGACATAATGCAATTCCACACTTAATAGACTATAGTACAGTGTAAACCTAACTTTTATATGAACTGGGAAACCAAAAAACTCAGTTGACTCACTTTATTGCAATACTTACTTTTTTGTGGTGGTTTAGAACCAAGTCCATAAGACCTCAGAGGTATGTCTATGCTATTTTTTAAAAATAATATACCGGGATGCCTGGGTGGCTCAGCAGTTAAGTGCCTGCCTTTGGCTCAGGGCATGATCCTGGAGTCCCAGGATCGAGTCCCACATCAGGCTCCCTGTATGGGGCCTGCTTCTCCCTCTGCCTGTGTCTCTGCCTCTCTCTCACTCTGTGTCTCTCATGAATAAATAAATAAAAACATTTTTTAAAAAATCATATACCTAGTTGGGGCGCTCGAGTGGCTCAGTTGGTTAAGTGTCTGACTTCCGCACAGATAATGACCCCAGGACCCTGGGATCGAGTCCTGCATCGGGATCCTTGCTCAGTGGAGAGTCTGCTTGTCCCTGTCCCTCTTTCTCTCCCTCTGCACCTTCTCCTACTCAGGCTCATTCTCTCTCTCTCAAATAAATAAAAACTTTAAAAAGTAATAGTATACTCTGGAACAAATCTAATAAAAGACTAGTTAAAGATTACAATAAATGCATTTATTATATTTGATGAGAGAAAAAAATCTTTCAAGGCCTGAGATAGAAGAGAAGCTATTTTATTTTATTTATTTATTTATTTATTTTTATTTTTTAGAGAAGCTATTTTAGATTCCCAAGTCAGCATAGCTATATATAAACTTTGTTTATACCAAAAGCCCGATTTATGGTCCATCAAGCATATATTGTACACCTGTTTTACAAATGAGCGGCCTAAAGGAAAACCATGTTGTCCTTAAGATAACAATCAATGCTACTCCCTACATTCCTTGATGTTAAAACTTGTGGTTCTTGCATATATGTTAATATATAATCTTTTGAGCTTTTACAAGATGTAAAAACAATATGTAACCCTATAAAAACTGTTCATTCTCTGGCTCTTTCTTCCCTGTGAAGAGCATGTTTCCCAGGCAGCTGTCCTAACTTGGGCTCGAATAAAACTCTCTTACTCTTAGAGATTCTGAAGATTGTTCATTTTGCATCGACATAATGGATGAGACAGAGATGAGGACAGATACACACAGATATGACAAAGATGACAGAGCAGAGCTGTGAGGGAAAAATGACCTTTCCACAAATGGCATCAGGTAGTTTAGATACTTCACACTGTATTTAACAAGGCAGTACACACACCCTGTTCACTGCCTAAACTTCCACTGGCTCCCAGTCATTCTCTCAGGCTACTAAAATAGAGGGAAATAACACACACACACACACACACACACACACACACACACACCCCTCAATCTATATATTACCTTTTCAGATAGGGCAAGATGAGAATAAAGAACTGACTTACCTTATCAAAGGAAACAGAACGAATGTCTGGACAGCACCACCAGGAGAATTAAATTAACTGCAAGGGATGTGTGCCAGTTGTGCCACCCAGACAGCCCTCTGGACTGAGCAGTCCTTCTCCAGCTGTCCAAGAACATCCTCAACTGAAGAAAGCTGCCTTGCCAATCACAAACATCCTCCCTGTGAGCATCCTGCATCCAATCTCTGCTCTAAGCAAAGGTGTAAAAGGCCAGGGCCCCCACCCCAGTTCAGGAGAAGTCTGTTGAGCCATCCCAGCTCCAGAGCCCCTGGGATCAGGCTTTGTTGTGCTTGCAGAACAGCCAAGTCCTGCTGCCCTCACTCCACCACAGGAGTGATCCTAAGAGCTCTCCCTCATACACTTCCTCCGCATCTCACAGTCTGCTTCCCAGAGAATATAACCTTCCACATCAAAGAAGGCCACGAGACAGCAACATAAACAAACAGTAAAACAACAACAACAAAAGGCTTACAGAAGACAAAGAGATTGAGTCAGAGGAAAATACAATACAGGGAGAGAAGGAACTCAATAAAGAGAGAAAATGATTCAAAGATAAAAAGCAAATTTGTTGACACAAGGAAAACAGACTGAATCTTCTTTTTTTTATTTTTTTTATTTTTTTTTCAGACTGAATCTTCTGATCTAAAACCACATTGTTAAAGAATGTTCAATGTAAGTAATGTTCACTGTAAGTAAAGCAGCAGCCATGAAATCCATAAGAAAACTACAGACAATGGTTCCACCAATCAGGAGTCAAATCAAAATAATGAATTTGGGAACGGAGACATTGTGGTAAAATGGCTGTTGCTGATGACTGTATCCATTTAAATACAGAACAGATTCAAACAGCTGTAGGATTATAATTACACAATAGGACATTACATTATAAAACAGGATATGGAGGTGGGGCGGGTTAGGAAGAAACTCGCAAACATCTTCATCCTTCAGAGCAGAGAGGTCTTCCATTGACACGTGTTTACAATTGAAATGTGTTTACAAAATAAACATGACAAGATCAATTTCTTCTTCTTCAAAAAAGATTTATTTATTTATTTATTTATTTATTTATTTATTTATTTGAGAGAGAGAGAGAGCCGAGGTGGGGGGGGGCAGAGGGGAAGGGACAAGCAGAAGCCCTGGTGAGCGGGGAGCCTGACCTGGGGCTCCATTCCAGGACCCTGGGATCATGACTTGCGCTGGAGGCAGACACTTAACCCACTGGGCCACCCAGGTGCCCCAAGAGATCAACTTCTTAATGTTTTTCATGACCTCTTCATCTTAGAGGGATCTTTTAAGAAATACAGACATTTGTAGTAAAGAAACCTGTATTTGAAAATCAGTTTTACCTTGCAATCCCCACCTAAAATAAGCCTTCAAATGTAGCCAGCATGACAAATAGTGGGACAGCCCCAGATATGATAGAATATGAATTCACAGGGTCAGCTATAAAGCAACCCTGCCAAAAAAGTTTAATCTGGATGTAATCAAGCTCTTAGATCTAAATTTCAGTTGGGAAATAAGGTAAGCAAGACTTCAAAAATATAACTCAGACAATCCATAATGTGGGACATTTTATAAAATACCTGGTCCAGGATTTTCAAAAAGTCGGTATCATGGGAAAGAACTGGGATGAGGTGCTTTTCTAGATTAAAATAAAGTATAAAGACATAACTCTGTGCATTTCATGAAGCCTGACTGGATCTTGATTTAAATGTTTAAAACAACCATAAGGGATGCCTGGGTGGCTCAGCAGTTAAGAATCTGCCTTCGCCTCAGGGAGTGATCCTGGGGTCTTGGGATCAAGTCCCACATGGGACATCCTGCATGGAGCCTGCTTCTCCCTCTGCCTATGTCCCTGCCTCTCTCTCTCTCTCTCTCTCTGTCTCTCATGAATAAATAAATAAAATCTTTAAAAATAAATAAATAAAACAACCATAAAGATATCTTGGGACAAATGGGAATATTACATATTTGGTATTATATTATTTTAGGAAATCATTAAAGATTGTTAAAAGCAAAAATGATACGATGCAGGAGACTATCCATATTTCAGGAGAGACATGCTAAAGAACCTTGGAGTGCAATATCATGATGTTTATAACTTACTTTCAGCAGTTGGAGGGGGAAGCAAATAAAACAAAATGTTCGTTATTGCATCTCAGTGATATGTATATGGTTGTTCATTGTACTCTGCTTTCCATTTTTCTGTATGCTTGAAACTTTTCATAATAAAAAGTCCTGGAGGGGCATATAGATGATCCTTAAAAAATAATTAAATAAAAGCCCCTCTTTCCAATGCCCACAATAGCCAAAATATGGAAAGA